GCACACGCACGCACACGCGCACACGCACACACAGTAATCGCACTAACGTGACGGCATCGAGGAGAAAACCGGCAGGAGCCGTGGGGAGGGTTCGAACCTGTGTAGTGGGTAATACGATGCAAGAAAAAGGATGAAAAGGGGAAAAACATTATGAAAGGTAAGAATAGTATAAAAGGTAAGAATAGTATGAAAGGTAAGAATAAAGAGAATGAGGTAAAACAAACGATAAGGATAGAAGACAATGGAGAAGGAAAAGAATGGAAAAAAGGTATAAATAAGAAAACAAATTTCAAAATAGAAAAGTAAAAAAAAAAAGAAATCAAAATTGAAAAGAATGCTGATAAAGAAGAGACAAAAACAAAGTAGAAATGAAAGAGGGAAAGAGGGAGAGCAGAGAGCCTAGAGGAGGCCAAGCTCAGTGTGATCCCGTGAGTTAAGAAGGTTAGGAGCACATTCGTATTGTGAAGGGAATGGTCAATAGCAACAGAGCCACGACTGTTGGGAAGGTTCAGGTCCTGTAGCACAGTAGACAAGACGGCCCCTGTCACGGGCACAGGCAGCAAACATTGTGTTGTAGAAGTAGACCAATCAGTAGGATGATTAAGAGTCACTAACAAGACAGATAAGACCATTGTTTGTGTTTGCAGACACTTAAGAGTTTAAGAAACATAAAAGAAGTGTTGTCATTTAGTGTACGGCCAGTTTCAGGACGAGACGAGCGGGGGGGGGGGGGGCAATAGGAGGAGCAAGGAGGGAGTTAGATTCAATTTTGAAATTGATAGAAAGAGCCAGAGTGTTAAGAAAGGAGAAGAAAGGCTGGGAAAGACTAAGGTCAGGAGGCCGTAGATAAAATATGTCATCTGGGTTCGATCCCAGGCGCCGGCGAGAAACAATGGACAGAGTTTCTTTCACCCTATGCCCCTGTTACCTAGCAGTAAAATAGGTACCTGGGTGTTAGTCAGCTGTCACGGGCGGCTTCCTGGGGGTGGAGGCCTGGTCGAGGACCGGGCCGCGGGGACACTAAAAAGCCCCAAAATCATCTCAAGATAACCTCAAGATAACATAATGGAGCCAGACGTGTATCAATAGCAGGAAGAAGAACTGTTTTAAAGTACTCCACACGGAGAGTGTGGAGTACTTTAAGGGAGAGTGTACAGGTTCTAAATTAAGCAACTGACATATGTGGAGAGCTAGTGTCACAATTGATATGTTTGTCCTGCACACCGCCCCCCATCCAGTGGGCAGCGGTGGATAGGTTACAATCACTTAGTTACTACCTACAGTTAGCAAACTGGGGATATTTGGCTAAAATTTCTGGTAGCAGATCATTTTGAATGAAATATTTACACATCGCTGGAACAGTGGTTATAGAATTGTCTCTAAATTCACGTATCTTTTCGCACTCCATCACAGAGTGACGGAGGGTGTGCGAATAATTTTGTTGACACAGTTTACATTTGGTCAGGTCTACACCAGCAGATAATGATTCCCAGAGATACTTGTAACCGAGTCTAAGCCGAGCAGTAGTAACATCTAGAAGTCTGCTGATTTTATTGGATGAACCATAGATGTGTGGCTCCTCTTACATGATAGTATGATGATGATGGAATTACTGGGGTCGATTTCACTTTGCCTCAGATCTATAAGATTTTGTTGAGGTTCTAGGTGGACAATTGCTCTCAGACTGCTTATTGGCAATCCAAGGTTATACTTAATTTCTCCTTTAAAGACAGATTCTTTTGCTAACTCATATGTCTATCATGCATTAGGAGGCCAACATGAGATGGACTCTGTTGCCATCATTAATAATTTTGTTGTATTTGTGTCTAGCTTCGGACACGAGGATGTTATAGTTATGTCTTAAAGAGTTGAGAGCAATTAAGGATGATAAGGAGTCACTTACAATTAATGTATCAAGTTTTGAGACGTACACATTTCAGTGCAAGGATCAAGGCAAATAGTTCAGTCTAAAGGGTAGAGGCCCAGGTGTTTATACGGACTCCCCACTCAAAGTACAAACCATCGCCCATTGTCAGGACAACTGCACTTCCAGCTGCACCCGTGGTGCGGTGTAGGGAACCATCAGTATGTATGATTTGAGAGAGAATGCTCTGTGGACAGAGCATCAATATGGCTTAAGGCGTTGAGCTTTGCCTCAAGACGAAGCTTGGGCTGATCTCTAATTTGCTTCTTGGGTGGAAAGGGAGGGATTAAAATTGAAAAGGGTGTAACCTCCCACGGTGCAGGAAAGTGCCGTTGTTGTTTCTCTTGGTACAAATCATAAACCCCATACATTCTGAGTTGAGTTCCAGTTTTAGTTATCCATTTTGAACAATGTTGTCCTTCAATAAAGAAATTCTAGAGGGCTTTGTGCAAGGATTAGGATGAGTTAGCCTAAGCATTTTTATACCAATTTGACAGTTAATTTCAGTAACACGATCAACAACGCTTGGAATATTAAGTTCCTTTATCATATTAAGTATCTTTGTGGTACGAGGGCACCCAAGGATTATCCTCAAGGCTTCGTTCTGCAATTTTTCAAGCCCTCCAAGCTTTCTTTCAGGTATCAAAGCAAGAAGAGGTGCAGCATAATCCACTAAAGATCTGATGTATGCAAGGGACATCATTTTAACAATTCTGACATTGGCACCATAGCCTGAGTGATAACCTGCAACAGCCTTGAGAGCTCGGAGCCTCTCTTTATACTGACGACAGAGTCTGAATACAACAGGACCATACAGTGCCACCTCAAGGCCAAGGTATTTGAATCTGTTTACATAGTCAAGCTGGGAGCCATCAGACAGTTGCATCTTGCGAACAGCTCCTCCCTGCCTGGGTGGGCGCCGATTGTGCATCTTAGTTGTCTCTGCTGAGATAATTAAACCTAGGTCCTGACATGAGTCTAATACAGAGTTAAGAGTGTTCTGCGTGTTAGCATACCCAGTGGTGTGTATCATTATATCATCAGCATAGCTAATGATGTGGACGTTGGGTTTGCTCGGTATAAAGTTTAACAGCGTTATACTCAGAAATCACAATAGCGTAATGCATCAAATGAACAAATTCATATGGGCCGTGACGAAGCTTCGAACCTACGTCAGAGAGCATCCCAGACGCTGCCTTAACCGACTGAGCTACAACATGGTAAAAGAATTGCAACCAGAAGTTCTACTGACCTTACTTGGATCCTGCAGCCTCTCCGAGACAAAAACCAGGATTTTACACAATTCCCCCCATGCACTCGAGCTATGTCACTAGCCCGTTCTACTTCTTCGCCCTTACTTCTTTTACCATGTCGTAGCTCAGTCGATTAAGGCAGCGTCTGAGATGATCTCGGACGTAGGTTCGAACCCTCGTGACGGCCCTTGTGGATTTGTTCATTTAACAACGTGTTTATTAAGATCTTAAATAAGGTAGGACTGAGGACACCACCCTGCGGGGTGCCTAGTTCAAAGTCTCTTGTTACACTCCTATGCCCCTGGAAAAATACAGATGACTTCCTGTTGGATAAGTAACCCCTGATCCAAGAAAGAAGTCGACCACCAATATTCATTCTTGCAAGCTCACTCAAGATAACATGTCTATTTGCAATATCAAAGGCAGACTTAAGATCTAGGAAGGTGGTATATGACTTTTCAGTGTGCAGGGTAAGAAAGGAGGTGATGCAATGATGCACACTCCTTCCATGCATGAAGCCATATATCTGGGGGGATAGCATGGTTCTTTTCTATGGAGGAGACGGTTTAGGACCATTCTCTCGAATGTTTTGCAAATGTAGCCAGTAAGGCAAATTGGGCGGAATGTATTTTTTTTTATTTGGCTTGGGAATTGGAATGATTATACTGTTGGTCCAAGAGTTAGGAAGTTCCCCAGTAACATAGCTCAGATTATACAGCTCAAGCAAGGGATTCCCTGGTACTAAAGGGAGCAGACGCAATATGTCATAAGTGATACCATCTTCACCGGGGGATGTGGCTTTGCCTTTGTTTAGGGCCGCGAGTAATTCAAACTCAGTAAATGGCACGTTGCATTCATCTTCCTTGTAGAGCATGAAGTCAACGAGCCTTTCTCGATCTCCGTAACCAGCATTTAATCAGAACTGTATGTCTGGGGGAAGATTATTGAAGCTAGAGGTGGTTGCCCAAGCATCGACTAACTCGTTTGCTCTGTGTAGAGGGTGAGGGTGTGCTACTTGGCCGATCTTATCGCCTTTAATTCTTTTAATATCCTTCCATGCATGGCTGAGGGGGGGGGGGGGGGTGAGAGTTGAGACTTAACAAAAGTTTCCCAGTTATCTTGCCTGAGCTCTGTCATGCGCTCCCTCGCCTTGGCTAGGGCTTTCTGAAAGCGCTTGAGCATTGCTGGCGTACGTGTTTCCCTATATGTAAGTCCAACTCGTCTGGCAGTGCGTTTCAAAAGCACGCGGTATAGGGTCATTGTAATAGGCATGGTGTTCATTACTTTTCATATCGGTCCGACTATTGGATGGTGCGGTGGGCCGACCTAAAGGGTCAGTGAACATCTGAATGTTCTGTACTAGACCGTCGATAACTGTGTGGACTGTGGAGGGGTCACAAGGAGAACAATGTGTTCACCACCACCACACTTGGTGTTCCCGCCTCATTCACATATAAACATTGTTCCAAAAACCGTTAACGTTTAACACGGTAAAGGTTAAGTGGATATATTTATTCAAGTCACGTTTCCCAAAGATATAATCTCTTCATAACATCAACTCTCAAAAAGTCTCCAATCCACAACAGAAGCCTCTCTACCTTCGGATAAATATAAACTAGTCGGTTCTGATAGAAATTCCCGGAAATTCAGAGTCGGTAGAGCACTCGAACTGAAATTATCTGTCAATTCAAGAACAGTCAGCATAATATGGGTGGAGGTTTGGCACCCTGGCAGTGTGTGGCATCAAGCCCGGGATGAAGGGGGGGGCGGCCAACAGGTATATAAAGCGGGCGACTCCGCAGCAGCGGGACAGTTGGCAGTCCTTCAAGACGAGAGTTGGCGAGAGTCACTCCGCCCTGGTCCCGTGTTGGCGTCGTTGTCTCCCTTCCGTACAAGAGGTAAAAAAAAAATCCATTCCTGATGTTCCTGCGGTGGACTCTGAATTAAGTTTACAAATCAAACTGAAATGTACATTCTGATTGAAGGGTTTAATAGTGCTCTATGATTTTTGGGGCGTTTTTGAGTTTATATTTTAGGCTCTTCCCATCATTTTAAAATATTACTTAGCAAGATTTTTCACTTTTTGTTTGTGAATTCAGTTAATTGTGGATTGTTTATGCTCAATACCCTGGTGGTGGTAGTGTGGTAGGACCTCCCACGCTGGTGGTGGTAGTGTGGTAGGACCTCCCACGGTGGTGGTGGTAGTGTGGTAGGACCCCCCACACGCTGGTGGTGGTGGTGTGGTAGGACCCCCCACGGTGGTGGTGGTAGGGTGGTAGGACCCCCCACACGCTGGTGGTGGTGGTGTGGTAGGACCCCCCACACGCTGGTGGTGGTGGTGTGGTAGGACCCCCCCACACGCTGGTGGTGGTAGTGTGGTAGGACCCCCCACACGCTGGTGGTGGTAGGGTGGTAGGACACCCCACACGCTGGTGGTGGTAGTGTGGTAGGACCCCCCACACGCTGGTGGTGGTAGTGTGGTAGGACCTCCCACGGTGGTGGTGGTGGTGTGGTAGGACCTCCCACGGTGGTGGTGGTGGTGTGGTAGGACCCCCCACACGCTGGTGGTGGTAGGGTGGTAGGACCTCCCACGGTGGTGGTGGTAGTGTGGTAGGACCTCCCACGGTGGTGGTGGTGTGGTAGGACCTCCCACGGTGGTGGTGGTAGTGTGGTAGGACCCCCCACACGCTGGTGGTGGTGGTGTGGTAGGACCTCCCACGGTGGTGGTGGTAGTGTGGTAGGACCCCCCACACGCTGGTGGTGGTAGGGTGGTAGGACCTCCCACGGTGGTGGTGGTAGTGTGGTAGGACCTCCCACGGTGGTGGTGGTGTGGTAGGACCTCCCACGGTGGTGGTGGTAGTGTGGTAGGACCCCCCACACGCTGGTGGTGGTGGTGTGGTAGGACCTCCCACGGTGGTGGTGGTAGTGTGGTAGGACCCCCCACACGCTGGTGGTGGTGGTGTGGTAGGACCTCCCACGGTGGTGGTGGTAGTGTGGTAGGACCTCCCACGGTGGTGGTGGTAGTGTGGTAGGACCTCCCACGGTGGTGGTGGTAGTGTGGTAGGACCCCCCCACACGCTGGTGGTGGTAGTGTGGTAGGACCCCCCACACGCTGGTGGTGGTAGGGTGGTAGGACACCCCACACGCTGGTGGTGGTAGTGTGGTAGGACCCCCCACACGCTGGTGGTGGTAGTGTGGTAGGACCTCCCACGGTGGTGGTGGTAGTGTGGTAGGACCCCCCACACGCTGGTGGTGGTAGTGTGGTAGGACCCCCCACACGCTGGTGGTGGTAGGGTGGTAGGACACCCCACACGCTGGTGGTGGTAGTGTGGTAGGACCCCCCACACGCTGGTGGTGGTAGTGTGGTAGGACCTCCCACGGTGGTGGTGGTGGTGTGGTAGGACCTCCCACGGTGGTGGTGGTGGTGTGGTAGGACCTCCCACGGTGGTGGTGGTGGTGTGGTAGGACCTCCCACGGTGGTGGTGGTAGTGTGGTAGGACCTCCCACGGTGGTGGTGGTGGTGTGGTAGGACCTCCCACGGTGGTGGTGGTAGTGTGGTAGGACCCCCCACACGCTGGTGGTGGTAGTGTGGTAGGACCTCCCACGGTGGTGGTGGTAGTGTGGTAGGACCCCCCCACACGCTGGTGGTGGTAGTGTGGTAGGACCCCCCACACGCTGGTGGTGGTAGGGTGGTAGGACACCCCACACGCTGGTGGTGGTAGTGTGGTAGGACCCCCCACACGCTGGTGGTGGTAGTGTGGTAGGACCTCCCACGGTGGTGGTGGTGGTGTGGTAGGACCTCCCACGGTGGTGGTGGTGGTGTGGTAGGACCTCCCACGGTGGTGGTGGTGGTGTGGTAGGACCTCCCACGGTGGTGGTGGTGGTGTGGTAGGACCTCCCACGGTGGTGGTGGTAGTGTGGTAGGACCTCCCACGGTGGTGGTGGTGGTGTGGTAGGACCTCCCACGGTGGTGGTGGTAGTGTGGTAGGACCTCCCACGGTGGTGGTGGTAGTGTGGTAGGACCCCCCACACGCTGGTGGTGGTAGTGTGGTAGGACCCCCCACACGCTGGTGGTGGTAGGGTGGTAGGACCCCCACACGCTGGTGGTGGTAGTGTGGTAGGACCCCCCACACGCTGGTGGTGGTGGTGTGGTAGGACCCCCCCACACGCTGGTGGTGGTGGTGTGGTAGGACCCCCCACACGCTGGTGGTGGTAGTGTGGTAGGACCCCCCACACGCTGGTGGTGGTAGTGTGGTAGGACCCCCCACACACTGGTGGTGGTAGTGTGGTAGGACCCCCCACACGCTGGTGGTGGTAGTGTGGTAGGACCCCCCACACGCTGGTGGTGGTAGTGTGGTAGGACCCCCACACGCTGGTGGTGGTAGTGTGGTAGGACCCCCCACACGCTGGTGGTGGTGGTGTGGTAGGACCCCCCACACGCTGGTGGTGGTGGTGTGGTAGGACCCCCCACACGCTGGTGGTGGTGGTGTGGTAGGACCCCCCACACGCTGGTGGTGGTAGTGTGGTAGGACCCCCCACACGCTGGTGGTGGTAGTGTGGTAGGACCCCCCACACGCTGGTGGTGGTAGTGTGGTAGGACCCCCACACGCTGGTGGTGGTAGTGTGGTAGGACCCCCCACACGCTGGTGGTGGTAGGGTGGTAGGACCCCCCACACGCTGGTGGTGGTGGTGTGGTAGGACCCCCCACACGCTGGTGGTGGTTGTGTGGTAGGACCCCCCACACGCTGGTGGTGGTAGTGTGGTAGGACCCCCCACTCGCTGGTGGTGGTGGTGTGGTAGGACCCCCCACACGCTGGTGGTGGTAGTGTGGTAGGACCCCCCACACGCTGGTGGTGGTAGGGTGGTAGGACCCCCCCACACGCTGGTGGTGGTAGTGTGGTAGGACCCCCCACACGCTGGTGGTGGTAGTGTGGTAGGACCTCCCACGGTGGTGGTGGTAGTGTGGTAGGACCCCCCACACGCTGGTGGTGGTAGTGTGGTAGGACCTCCCACGGTGGTGGTGGTAGTGTGGTAGGACCCCCCACACGCTGGTGGTGGTAGTGTGGTAGGACCTCCCACGGTGGTGGTGGTAGTGTGGTAGGACCTCCCACGGTGGTGGTGGTAGTGTGGTAGGACCCCCCACACGCTGGTGGTGGTAGTGTGGTAGGACCCCCCACACGCTGGTGGTGGTAGTGTGGTAGGACCCCCCACACGCTGGTGGTGGTAGTGTGGTAGGACCCCCCCCACACGCTGGTGGTGGTAGTGTGGTAGGACCCCCCACACGCTGGTGGTGGTAGTGTGGTAGGACCCCCCACACGCTGGTGGTGGTAGTGTGGTAGGACCCCCCACACGCTGGTGGTGGTAGTGTGGTAGGACCCCCCACACGCTGGTGGTGGTGGTGTGGTAGGACCCCCCACACGCTGGTGGTGGTGGTGTGGTAGGACCCCCCACACGCTGGTGGTGGTAGTGTGGTAGGACCCCCCACACGCTGGTGGTGGTAGTGTGGTAGGACCCCCCACACGCTGGTGGTGGTAGTGTGGTAGGACCCCCCACACGCTGGTGGTGGTAGTGTGGTAGGACCCCCCCACACGCTGGTGGTGGTGGTGTGGTAGGACCCCCCCACACGCTGGTGGTGGTGGTGTGGTAGGACCCCCCACACGCTGGTGGTGGTAGTGTGGTAGGACCCCCCACACGCTGGTGGTGGTAGTGTGGTAGGACCCCCCACACGCTGGTGGGGGTAGTGTGGTAGGACCCCCCACACGCTGGTGGTGGTAGTGTGGTAGGACCCCCCACACGCTGGTGGTGGTAGTGTGGTAGGACCCCCCACACGCTGGTGGTGGTAGTGTGGTAGGACCCCCCACGGTGGTGGTGGTGTGGTAGGACCCCTCACACGCTGGTGGTAATGGTGTGGTAGGACCCCCCACGGTGGTAGTGGTGGTGGTGTGGTAGGACCCCCCACACGCTGGTGGTGGTGTGGTAGGACCCCCCACACGCTGGTGGTGGTGTGGTAGGACCCCCCACACGCTGGTGGTGGTGTGGTAGGACCCCCCCCCCACACGCTGGTGGTGGTGTGGTAGGACCCCCCACACGCTGGTGGTGGTGTGGTAGGACCCCCCACACGCTGGTGGTGGTGTGGTAGGACCCCCCACACGCTGGTGGTGGTGGTGTGGTAGGACCCCCCACACGCTGGTGGTGGTGTGGTAGGACCCCCCACACGCTGGTGGTGGTGTGGTAGGACCCCCCACACGCTGGTGGTGGTGTGGTAGCACCCCCCACACGCTGGTGGTGGTGTGGTAGCACCCCCCACACGCTGGTGGTGGTGTGGTAGCACCCCCCACACGCTGGGGGTGGTGTGGTAGCACCCCCCACACGCTGGTGGTGGTGTGGTAGCACCCCCCACACTGGTGGTGGTGGTGTGGTAGCACCCCCCACACGCTGGTGGTGGTGTGGTAGCACCCCCCACACGCTGGTGGTGGTGTGGTAGCACCCCCCACACGCTGGTGGTGGTGTGGTAGCACCCCCCACACGCTGGTGGTGGTGTGGTAGCACCCCCACACGCTGGTGGTGGTGTGGTAGCACCCCCCACACGCTGGTGGTGGTGTGGTAGCACCCCCCACACGCTGGTGGTGGTGGTGTGGTAGGACCCCCTCACACGCTGGTGGTGGTGTGGTAGCACCCCCCACACGCTGGTGGTGGTGTGGTAGCACCCCCCACACGCTGGTGGTGGTGTGGTAGCACCCCCCACACGCTGGTGGTGGTGTGGTAGCACCCCCCACATGCTGGTGGTGGTGTGGTAGCACCCCCCACACGCTGGTGGTGGTAGTGTGGTAGCACCCCCACACGCTGGTGGTGGTGTGGTAGGACCCCTCACGGTGGTGGTGGTGGTGGTGGTGTGGTA